GGATCTATGCATCGGACCAGATCAGATCTAGGGGTCCAAAGTCCGGAAGAGAAGTGTAGATATATGGGATATGACAACAGCACACTGACCCTCTGAAGTACCCGCCACACCACTTGGATCATGGCCACACCCTGAGTGTTTTAACATTACTAAGTGACACTATTCATGGACCATGTGCATGAAAGATTCATATCAATCCTGAAATGATAGTGTGAGCTGAAAGAATTACATTTAGTGAGATTAAAACTTACCTTTCATCTGATCAAGCCCATGTTATCCGTTAAATGAACCAGTGAGTGATAAAACTCATACACAGAGGCCTTTGACTCAAAGGACAGGATATGGTGGTGATGAAGAATGTGAAATGTTGCAGCCGTTCATGGATCAGTAGATGTTGATGGAAACCAACCCACATGCAAGAGTTGTTTGGTATGTGTCTGGGAGGTCGTACAGCCACAGAAGTTGAGCACAATTTTATATATACCATTTGTGTTGATAGGAACAAATTCATCATTAAACACTTTCCTTGGAAGAATACACCATTCGCCGATTGCATGTCTAAGCTGCATGTAAAGACAGATAATAATCAATTCAAGGACATGGCAAATTGCCTGAGACAATGGGCATCTTCATTCACAGTTCTCACCGTCATGTGCAATCATTGTTCACCCTGGCACAGAGACTCTCAATGCTTTGCTCAATGGTTTGATATAATAACCAGTGTTGGTGATTATGGACCAGTGCGAATGAAATTGGCAAATATTAGGATTGAAATTGCCTATAATTCAGGCATTATGATAGGTACTTCAAGTAGAATTGTTGGGCATGGTGTAGACAGGGTGAACAGTAATAGAGTTAGCTGGGTGTGATACACTTCCTGGCCTCAGCCTTCATTCCAATAATTCAGAAGGTTCCCAATGAGCATTATTCCTTCGTCACAGGAATCCAAAGGAGGGCTGCACCCTCATGTGGCTTCCTGGTCTCAGGCTGCATTCTAATAAATTGTGTATTTTGAAACTGCATTTATGAATAGCATTTTGAAAAAACTAAAAGTACATGTAACAGTATCATTGTTATTTTCCCATTTTTCCCTACCTCCCATCTCCCTGATGAGTTTTCTGCAAGTCTCAGACACATCTGTTGAAGTACAATCAAGTCAGGTGCACAGGGAATGCATAGATGATGTGTAATATACATGAATTGTAAACTACTCTTATATACTGTAAATTATTAGTACTTTTGGTTGGGTTTCTACATAGCCAAAATATTACAAAGTGCATAGCATGTTTTATCAGTCTCAAGATCCAAGTTGCTGGTGCTCCTCTAATCCAACACTCCTGTCTCTCATCTTCCCTGTTTGCCAGTTTCTTCATCTCCTGATCTTCTGCTTTGCCAGTTGGCCAGTTTCCTGTCCTCTCATTCTCAAATTTTCGAGTCTCTACATTGTCTTTTGCTCCCTTTTTAATTTTCACAACTGTTTTCTGCACAATCTCTTTTATCTCCTTGACCACATATTTCTTGTTTCATTTTAGTTTCATTGTTTACTGTATATATGTACCCTAAACAATTACAGTAGGCAAAATACTGGTGTTAATGCAGGGTGGCAGTCCAAGACTCCCACAGTGCATGGCTTGCTTCACAATGACTCCATATAATTAAATTTATACACATTGCATGCTAAAATATACAACAAGCAGGATTATGTAAGAAGAGGCCTGCACATGGTAGGAGTCCTGGACTCCCACATCTTGTACTCAGGTGGTTTGAGGCTTGCACACAGTGGGAGTCCTGGACTCCCACATTTGACACTCAGGTGGTGTGAGGCCTGTACACAGTGGGAGTCCTGGACTCCCACATTTGATACTCAGGTGATTTGAGAGGCCTACACACGGTGGGAGTCCTGGACTCCCAAATTTGACACTCAGGTGGTGTGAGGCCTGTACACAGTGGGAGTCCTGGACTCCCACATTTGATACTCAGGTGATTTGAGAGGCCTGTACACGGTGGGAGTCCTGGACTCCCACATTTGACACTCAGGTGGTGTGAGGCCTGTACACGGTGGGAGTCCTGGACTCCCACATTTGATACTCAGATGGTGTGAGGCCTGTACACAGTGGGAGTCCTGGACTCCCACATTTGATACTCAGGTGGTGTGAGGCCTGTACACGGTGGGAGTCCTGGACTCCCACATTTGATACTCAGGTGGTGTGAGGCCTGTACACGGTGGGAGTCCTAGACTCCCACATTTGATACTCAAGTGGTTTGAGGCCTGTACACGGTGGGAGTCCTGGACTCCCACATTTGATACTCAAGTGGTTTGAGGCCTGCACATGGTGGGAGTCCTGGACTTCCACATCTGATACTCAGGTGGTGTGAGGCCTGTACACGGTGGGAGTCCTGGACTTCCACATCTGATACTCAGGTAGTGTGAGGCCTGTACACGGTGGGAGTCCTGGACTCCCACATTTGATACTCAAGTGGTTTGAGGCCTGCACATGGTGGGAGTCCTGGACTTCCACATCTGATACTCAGGTGGTTTGAGGCCTGCACATGGTGGCAGTCCTGGACTCCCACATCTGAGACTCCAGTGGTGTAAGGCCTGCACATGGTGGGAGTCCAGGACTCCCACATCCATATCATGTAAACAAATGAAGTATAGAACATAGTGACAGTCCCTGCAATATAACATAACATAACATAACATAACATAACATATTGTAAATCTGAGACTGTACAATGAAGTATTAAGCATGTAGTAGTGAGAGGCCTCAAACACTTTTGGTAAATGTCACATGATAAAGACATCTTCTGTAAAATGCCTTCATTTTAGAATTGTTGGAAAAGTAATAGTAGACTTGCAGATAAACAATCTATGCTATCCAAGATGTCAAATGTAAACAAAGGTTTCAAAATGAGCTATAAGTGTTTGTCCATGTGGCTACAACTAATCTTTGGAAATCTCAATGCCCAAGTGCGCTCGACAGGTGTGAGCAGCCCTTGCAAATCTTGGGAACTGGGCAAAGAAAATAAAAATCTAGGTAACTCCAAGTTTGAGAAGGAGAACTTTCATATGAGTAGTATGTAGGTCACACCCCAGTCACATCATGTGATGTTGACTGAAAGTGCTTGAGGCCTACCTTACATGATACTACTGACTGTATCTATGAGTATATAATGGATATGCATGTTGTTGAAGCCTGCACACAGTGGGAGTCCTGGACTCCCACATCTTGAACTCAGTGATTTGAGGCCTGCACACAGTGGGAGTCCTGGACTCCCACATCATATACTCAGGTTGTTTGAGGCCTGCACACGGTGGGAGTCCTGGACTCCCACATCTGATACACATGTTGTTGCAGCCTATACACAGTGGGAGTCCTGGACTCCCACATCATATACTCAGGTTGTTTGAGGCCTGCACACGGTGGGAGTCCTGGACTCCCACATTTGATACTCAGGTTGTTTGAGGCCTGCACACAGTGGGAGTCCTGGACTCCCACATTTGATACTCAGGTGATTTGAGGCCTGCACATGGTGGGAGTCCTGGACTCCCACATCTGAGTCTCAAGTGGTATGAGGCCTGCACACGGTGGGAGTCCTGGACTCCCATATCTTGTACATACCGGAGTAATAATCAAAAACTAGGAAAAATTGATCCTAGGTGGATCCTAGGGGGGCTCATAACTAACCTCGCCACCGTGTCCACGGGGGCAATAAAGACACCGCCTCCCCATTTATGTCCTCCAATATGGTCCGCACAGAAGGTGTGGCGCACAATGGGTGGACGAGAGTAAATACCCCTATCAGAAGGACAAACATGGACAAATGCCAAACTCACGGAGCGACGAACAACTGCACCTACTGGCACCGGAAGGTCCGCCGATGCCACGGTAGCCATGGCGGAAATTACCACGGTACCGTACCGCGTAAGTCTGCGGTGTCTGCCGTGTAGATGTTATGGCGCACAATGGAGGCACGCTGGAATCACATTGTATGTCTCAATGTTCGCCAAACGTCAGGCTCAGGGGGCGTACCATCCCTGTCCACCTGCGGCGATAATTGAACCGTAAAGTTCAACAAGTTCAGGGGTGGTCCGCCGTCGACGCCGTTGCCAGGGCGGAATTTGAAAGAGTGATCTTCCTCTCGTCTTGTTTCATTGCGTCCGTCACAGAAGATATGACGCACAATGGGTATAGCAGAGGGGTACCCCTGTGATGAATGGCGGTCATCGTCACATGTCAGGCTCAGGGGTGGTCCGCCCATGCCACCGTTGCCACGGCGGAATTTGGAAGAACAGTCCTCCCATATGGATGTACCGATGTGGATATACCCTCTTATGCGGTAGTGACATTATCGTCATTCGCTGCATGGCCAGTCGAGCTTTACATCGAATGGTATGAGTATGATCCACCCCACATATATGGGTAAGGGCGAACTGCACAATGATGTATAGAGGACCGCCCCTGATACATGGTGCGGATACCACCCCTTTCAACTAACTTTCAGAAGATGAGAAACAAGTATTCGAACTACCTCTCATAACTGAAGTTATGGCGCACAATGGCAGAAATATCAGACCCAATGATGGGATCCCATTTCTACATATAACTCTACCGGCCAAGCGTCTGGCGGCATACTGTAGTTTTACATATAGCTCAACCGGCCAAGCGTCTGGCAGCAGACTGTATTTTTTACATATAGCTCCACCGGCCAAGCGTCTGGCGGCAGACTGTATGTTTACATGCCGCTCCACCGGTCAAGCATGTAGCGCCACAATGAAATCTCAATTTCATTGGCGGATGCATCTTGGTTAGGGGTGGACCGCCACCGCCACAAAGGCTCAGGCGGCACTGAATTGTGCACCTCCTCTGTTGTCTCTGTACATCCACCATCGAAGGTATGGCGCACAATGGGTGTAGCAGGATGGCGCCATATATCTGACTGGCCATCATCGCCAAATGCATGGCTCAGGGGCTCACCGCCAAGGCAAGCCTGGTATGCATCAGGGGGCGCCACCCCTATGATGAGGTGGGGAGTAACATTGTCGTCATTCGCTGCGTGGCCAGTCGAGCTTTATATCGAATGGCAATTGCAGCGTCCACCAGCCATATATTATATGGGCGGACAGCACACCGATGCACAATGGCCCGTCGAGCTTTACATCGTGTGGGCGGACCACCCCCTGAGCCTGATGTTTGGCGATGGGCGCCATTCATCACAGGTGTATCATGCTGCTCTACCCATTGTGCGCCATATCTTCTGTGATGGACGCAATGGCATAAGGAGAGGGGTCAGCTCTTCCAATTTCCGCCGTCGCAACGGTAGCGACTGCGGACCATCATTGGGCCTCATGTTTGATTATGGCCGCCATCCAGTACTATGGCGCCACTCTGTTACACCCATTGCGCGCCATATCTTCGATGGTTGATGTAAAGAGACAACAAAGGAGGGTGCTCAATTCAGTACCGCCGCCGTCGCAACGGTGTCGACGGCGGACCACCACTGAATCTGTTGAACTTTATGGTTCAATTGTCGCCGCAGGTGGACAAAGATGGTACACCCCCTGAGCCTGACGTTTGGCGAACATTGTGAGACACTATGTGATCCCAGCGGTCTTCCATTGTGCGCCATAAATTCTACGCCGCAGACAGACGCGGCATGGTAATATGGTAATTTCCGCCATGGCTACCGTTGCATCGGCGGACAGACAGGAAGAACGGTGAAAGGCCAGTATGCGTATTTGGTGGAGGTGTAATACAATAAATCGAACGTTATGCGGAATGCACTAATATAGAGTTGGCCGCTTGAGCTATATGTACATATCAGATAGCATGGTAACACCGCGCATATTCACTAACATTCCTGGCACTAGGCGGTCGACGGAACAGTCACAGCGACGAAGATTGTTGGCGTAATTGTCACACATGTGCATACATACTCGAAGACATTATGTCGCCGCCGATAAAACAGTTGCGTCGGCGGCGATGATGTCATGCCGTCCCTCACACCAAGATTCTGTTGTGGCATGTGCGCAAAATGAGATGAAGTTATGACGCACAATGGGGACCGCTTGCATGTACATGGAGTGTCACAGCATGCCATTTGGTGGTGCCCATTGTTCGTCACATCTTCAATTATTCTATAAAATAATTGTCAGTCTGCAAGGATTGAACCACAGTTAATCCAGTGCTACAGAACGCAGAGTTTAACCATTTGGCTACAAAGCCATTACTACTAGGACACCACAAATGTATGTCGATCAATAAACTTAATATTTATTTAAATTGGATATTTATGTTCGTAACATTTGACCCAGTGTGTGTCTATCTAAGCTGTGCGATGCAACAAATGGTAGGTATCTGATCGTTCTTCACTTCCTCTCTCCTTAGGATCATATGATGTATGTTGCATATGCCCATTTGAATCCGTCACATGATGCACCGTGAAATAGGGGTGAACTTCAGGACCATTACAGACATTGTTGTGTCGAGGTGGGCGATTCTCTGTTATGCCACGGTGTAAATCATGAGCATCATAGCAATATTGAGTGTGATGCGAGGATACTCTTCTTTGCGATGTGGACTACGTAACTCAAAGACATAATGGTAAAGAGGCCAGTCATGAAGCATCATTCTTGTGATACACCTTATCACGGGTTTGTGAAGAATCTTGTGATCTGTATTTCTGATATCAAATCACAGATAATTAACAGGTCACATACTATCTATATGCCGATGGAACTGTGGCAATGGCGGCTGTAGTACATGGCACATCAAATGATTATGAGACTATATATACAGAGTTGGAGACCCATTCAGGCACTCAAGAGATTCCAGGATCCCATTACTACCAGCATCAATTGGGACTAGGATATATGATATGATATGGGGTGGGCACAGGGGTATAACCCGCAGTTGCACCGGTGGCCATGGCGGGTCTAAGTCGTTGAGTTACGCTGTCGTTTGTGCTGTTCATGTTCTATGATCTCGACTTCAGAGTCAGAGTCAGGCGCAGGCGCAGGACGCTTCTTGATGGCAATTGAAGACATGGCTGGATGATTGGTGTATGTGCCGGTCGTGGCTCCAATTTCCACTGCTTTGTCTAGCCCAAAGAAGGAGACTGCGATCTTGAAAGGCCCATACTGACGATCTTGCAGCAAACCCATCAGCTCCCTGTGCTTTGCAGCCAACTCCTCATGTGTGAGCAAGATCCAATCCGTCAATGGGACGCCACCTTTGAAGATGCGAGTGGAGCGTGCCTTTGCGAGGCCCATCCGAACTAAATTGAAGGACCCGATGCCTTTGGCGCTGTTCTTAGCGTTCCATTGATTGGGGAATGCTTTCTTCCTCGCAAAGTAGTCTCGCAATGGGCTCTCTCTCTCATATACCGAGATGATATATGCTGGCACCATCGCGATGAACTGGGGCCTCCATGTGCTTCCCTTTCGCGTCCCTTTGTTGGCCTTCCAAGGAATGCTTCTGATGGCATTTGTGGCAGACCGTTCCCCCTGCATCTTGTCGTTGGAGGGCCTGTCTTTGACGTCCCAGAACATATCGGGAAGCACATGACTGAAATAGATCCCTGCGAGCAAGGCGATCTTGTGGACCGGCTTTTCTCGGTCGAAGTTCGCGAAGACCCACTCGTATATCTCTGTCAGCATAGGGTCTCTGCTACATTCTATCTGCTCCAGGCTAAATTCATCAGGGAGACAGTCGCGTGCGAAGAAATCAGGAAGCGACTGAAGTGTGATTGATTCGACTGCCCATGGGGCTCGAGCATCCGAGGCTTGGGCTTTCTTCGCTGCCTCAGCAGCCATATCAATGGGCCGTGAGTTGGTGCGACTTCCTGCCGAGGGGCAATGGTCAGGGACGGATGATTTGCCTAGATTGACCCATGAGTCATGCACGGCCTTTCGCGAGGGACGACCTCTTCCTCCAGAGTGTGGCGCGTGCCATGGGATGTGTTGAATCTGAAGGTTGTTGGCAGCAATGATGTAGGAACGCTGTATGCATTTCTCGGCAGCAGCAGGCGAATGAGTCGGTGCATATTTCAGCATGCGAGCATATGCGATGCGAAAGACAGCGGTGGAGGGAGCCGTCAGGATAAGAGGAGCAGCAACGGACGATGGCGATTCGACTCGAGTCATTGCGCAGATGCGAGCGGCAAAGTCTTGCACGCTCAGCTTCTCC